CCAAAGTTCCTTTCCAGTTTTATCTTGTTTTCTTTTTATTTCTTTTATTTTTATTTTATCATATGATTGTACGATTTTAACTCAATTAATTCATTAGAAACTTTGTGCCAGCTTGGTTACAATCTGCTCAAGCGGAAGGGGGGGGCTATCCCGCGAGAGAGAGAGAGAGAGAGAAAGAGGGAGAGAGAGAGAGAAAGAGAGGGAGAGAGAGGGAGACTGAGAGAGAGGGAACGGCGAAGGTGAGAGGAAGAGTGCAGCGAGACTGAGGGAGAGAGTACAGCGTGAGTAAGGGAGCGTGAACAGCGAAAGGGAGGAAAAGAGAAAGTGGGGTGGCACATCCAAAGATTGACTGTGAAACTTACTCTGGCGACCTAGTTGCTGTTCCCAGCTGACTGCTAAAAACTCACCATTGCGAGACGTGGCTATTGACCGTTGAAACGCACTGCTGTGTGACACCGATTGACTGTCGAAACCCCTTAGTGCGTGAATTGGCAGAATTATAAATTGATTGCAGAAACGTACTGGAGAGCGACAGTTGAATCACCTTGTTGACCGAAGCTGCTCGGGAGCGTGACAGGGCGCCCCTGACTTCGATGCCTGCTGGTCGCTAAGGACCTCGGAAGCGGGCGAGGCGAGTGACAGGCGCCGTAGCCCTTGGCTTCAGCAAATAATAGGCGCCCCTCCCCAGGTTTCCTCACAACGTGCGTGGCCGATGGCAGGTCAACGGGCGCCTCCATCCTCGCTCTCTCACACATACCCTGGTCCTCCGCCTCTGCCTCCTGCTCAGGTATAGTGGTGACCTCACGGAAAAACTTCGGGATCTCCTTACTGCCTGGCTCAGGAATCCCCTCTGGCCATGAACGTTGTGCTGGCTCTGGAGCTGGGGAGCATGGAGGGGTATCGTCCCCAACTGTGATCACCTCTCTGCCCTGAGGTCGTACCGGATCCAGCCGCACGACTGCCATCTCAGGATCCTGCGGCTCCTCTCGGTCTCGCATGTCTGTCTCCATCTCGGGGTCGAGGGGCTCCTCCAATGGCACGTAGCGCGTCGGCTCAACTGAGCCCTCTCCCAGCCGTGAGGCCTCCCATTGGGATACATCGAGATGAGTCGCTAAGCTTCGGAATGGCGTCTCTCTCGATATATCCAGTTCCTGTGCTGATGGCAATGGCGAGGGCGGCCTCAACTCCTTGCTCGTAATCCGCCGAAACTCAACCGCCAAGAGGCCACAAGCAAGGAACGACTCCCTTGCCAATGCGGGCCCTACGGGCTCATCCTCCCGTTGGGCTGGGGCTCCCCTCCCCTCTCTGGCCAGCCCCGCCTCTCTCGGTGCCGGTTCCCTTGGCCTCTTGCTTCGCCGTCGCCTCTCAACCCTGGGCTCGTGCCTCTCGTGCTGTGGTCGTCCGAACGCCCTCTTGAGCTGGGCTTGACAGTCCTCCCAGTCTCGAACCCTTTCCCGAATCTGCTTGGCCACCTGCCTCTCTGCCTGCCTCGTCCAGATAAGTATAGCCTGCACCCATTCCTCTTGCGCAACTCCCAGACTCAACATGTAGTGCTCATATGCGGGGATGAACTCATATGCATTCCCCTCCTCCAATCGAATGGGCATGCCATCACGCCCCCTAGGGGAAGCTCTCAACCTCTGTATCCCGGCCTCCACATCTGGCCAAGTCAGGGCCTCCTCGCATATCTGAGCGACAGGCTCCTCGAACCGCCCTATATCCCTCAAGTGGTGAATCCTCTCCGTCACTGACCACCCTCTCTGTGCCGCATGATCCCGATATACGTCCAAGAAGAGCTCAATGTTGTCATCATCAAACTCAGGCGTAGGCTCTCTCCTAGGCGGCTCATGCTGCTCGCCTCTTCCCTCCATCCTCTGGGGCCCCTGGCGTGGTCGTGTGTCCCTCCCCTTCCTCTGCATGACTGCCTTCGAAAAGTCAGACCTGCACAACAGGCAAGAGACAACAAACAGGCACACAGCAGGGTCAGCAACTGGGCCATAGGCCTAGGGAAACCCTACATACTCTCCACACCCATCCACCCCAATCATCCACCTATCTAATCACCTGACCTGGGTAATACCTAGGCAAGACTCTATTCCGAACGAGGTCTCATGGCCCCTTACCTATTCCCTGGCCACGAACTTCTTCACCCTTGTCCCTGATACCCAGTCTTGCCATCCTGCCCCATCCAGCTCTTCGATTTGGTAGGCCCCAAACTCGCCACATCGCCCAATCCTATAGGGTCCCAGCCACCGTTTGTCGAGTTTCCTAGACCATTGCCTTTCCAGCGAGGAGTCATACATCAGCACCACATCTCCAACCTTCAGCGGATCCTTCCTTATTCAGGCCATCTGGTCTCATCTCATCTTATCTTCCATACGACTTCTCTCTATCTGACCATCGGCCTCTCGTAACCTTTCCTCAGCGTCTCCCACCTGCCGCGCCCGTATATCGAGCAGTTCTTCAAAGGACAGGTTCACCTCCAGATCCTGGCGCCTCCACGTCTTCATGAAGCTTTCTATGGGAAAGGTGGCATGCCTTCCATACCATAGCGTGGCTGACGCATATTTGGTAGTCATTTTCACTGTAACATTTTCCACGAAGAATGACGCTCTCAGGAACTTCGGCCACTGGTTAGGTCTCCCCTCAGTCCACTTAGCCAAGAGGTTTGTGATGGTACTATGCCCCGTCTCCACAGGAGCATTCGCCTGGGGGTGCGCGACAGTAGTATAGTTTTCTACCACGCCATACCCCGCAAGTAAGGTCCATACCTCGTTACAGGTGAATTCCGACCCCCGGTCCATCACAAACTCTCTGACGAACAGATAGCGCAGGTAGTACTCTTCGATGCATCTTGCTAACACTGGGCCAGTTTTCGTACGAAAAGCCCGACCGTCCACGAATCTGGTAAGGTTGTCCCGTGCGTCGAAGCTATAGTTACTTCCGTCTTCCCCAAGTGGCATGAACAATAGGTCCAGGTGTACGACTGCACCCACTTCCCTTTCCAGTCTGGGGTGCAGAGACTCCCCTGGCCTTTGCGCAAACCTCTGTTGGCAGGGTACACAAGACTGGCAGTACTTGATGACCATAGTCAGCATTCCATCCCAATGGTATAGCTCACTTATCTTTGCGCACGTGGCACTAACCCCTCTGTGCCCCCCTGCTATACCATCGTGTAAGGCTGCTATGACATCGATCTGCCGGTTCTTCCCACATACGATCCTCTTGGGGTTCCCAACCTGTCGCTTTATAAACAAATGACCATCTCTCATTACGTAGAGATGCCTCATCTTCTGGGCCTTAGCACTTGCGTCCCTATCCCTCATTTCGCACGACAGGAGTAACCCCAATTCCCGATAAATTCCGTCATACTCCTCAACACGGAAGGCCTCCCTAATCTCTCTCTCTTCGAACTCGTCGTCGTGGCTCTCAGGAATGAGAAGCTCGCCCTCCTCAGAGCTGGCTGCGCTCCTCTGGTCAAAGTTCCCTTGCAGGAGCGTGTTAGTGAGCAAGTACATTCCTCCCATTAGTTGCTCATGCTCCTCTACCTGGGTTGGTTCTTCCTCTATCGCCCTTACCTCCTCCGCTAGACTATGTGTCCCTGCCAATGCCAACCTCATCATCCAGCCAACATCCTTACTCCCCCACAGATCTTCTTCCTGGAAGGGCTTGAGGACCAACTCCTCCTTCTGCTCGTACCCCCTTGGTGCTAGCCATATAGGATGCGTGACGCAACTGGGCACTCTCAGTGACCACTCATTTATGTGAAGGCGGACATCCTCCTCCTGATCCAAGAACCCATCGACTGGTGGGGTATCCTCAATTGACTCTTGGCCCGCCCCATCCCTGTTGATACGGCTCAACCCATCTACCCTGTTCTTGTCCCCGGGAATTGGGAACCCTGCTTAAGCCCTCCCTTAAAAAAGGCCGACTTATCGCTCGGACCTGGGCCATCGCAGGGTTTCCCTTCCTTCGTGGGAGCTGATAGATCAGCTCCACTTCTCCCACCTGGGGGCTTTCGAGGACCTGCTCCCTCAATGCCTTTATAGCCTCAGGGTCTGCCATATCATGCGCTACCACCACCTTCATTGCCTTATTTACATCGTTAAGGCTCACAGACAACACCTCGCCTGCTCCTTCCTCCTCCTGCTCCTCCCGAAATCTCCGTCGCGCGTACTCAGACTCCTCGAAGGTAAAGGAGTCGAGGTTGAGCCTGTTCCTCCCACTTCCGGGCCCTGTATTTCGGCACTTAATAATTTCGTATTTCCGCAGGCCGGGTCGGACAAAGCCAGAATCATCGTCTCCTCATGCCTGTTGAAGATCAAGGTCTCCGTTCAGCAGAGGAACGATCTCCCCAAAAGGATAGGGTGGTCGACATCGGGCATGACGAAGAAGCACGTTCGCGCTCTTACTCTCATAATCTCCACCATCACATTGGACGCGGTGCCGCAGAAGATGGCCTTGCAGTTGGCGCCGTGCAGCACACCATGGTCCGAATGGTCAACTTCCAACCCTAACATCGTCGCGTCCCGCTCCCGGATGATATTCATCTCCGCGCCCATGTCCACCATTGCGATGCTCGGCAGGTCCCTCACCTTCAAGTCCACCAACCCACACGCCTCACATTTTCAATCCATCCTGGTGCCCGCCTCTGTCCACTCTATCTCCCTGGGCAGAATTGAGCTCATATGGACATTGGGCACTAACCTTCGCGAGAGCCGCCCCTTCAGCTCGCCCCAGAGCCTTGGTGCTGAGGCCAAAATGCCCTTTAAGTTCATCAGATCGTTATGGCCCTCCAAGAGCTTATCCACCATTCGCTCCACGTCAAAGCCTTCCTCCAGCCGGACTGCGTACTTCTTCCTTTTTGGCACGCCATCATGCAGACTCGGCTCCACCCCTCCCTAAGCCCCTCGCTTCTTGGCCCTCTATTCCGCCCTCCGGTCCTCTTCCTGCCGGAGCCTCTCGTCCTCTTCGGCATCACCCTCATCTTCCTCTTCTTGAACCTCTACCACTTCCTTTCTTCGTTCGGCTCAGGGTCCTTTCGAGGGGGCACCCGACTGGGTGCCTGGCTAGGCCCTTGACTGGTGGTAGCCTTACTTTGGCCCCTAGTCTGCACGGCCTGTGGTACCCTTCCATGCGACGTAGGGGGTCTAAAGGTCATCCCTGACCTAGGACCTGCCCCAGCCGTCGCCACGCTTGGACATCCTTGCGATCCTGATGACGACTCCGGACCAGACCCATAGAGCATCACCTCCGGAAGGCTCATTTCCCATTCCCGGGCCTTTTCACACATTGCCCTTAGTCGTTCCTGATACCTGCCAACCTTTGCAAGCAGGTCCTCCATCCCCTCTTGGATGGTCGAGGCTGACTCTCTCACCACTTCCTGCGCCTCATCGTCAGACTCAACCACTATGGGCTCCTCCCTTATAGTCCCCGCCTTCAACCGATGAGTTACTTCCTCATTTTCATCCACAATCTCCTCGATTCTTACACCGGGGTCTTGCCTTCCCTGCCATATCCTGAACATTGCCCGGGCTACTGGAGGCCCGACCGCTGCCCGCCTGAGGGCTTCCTGCCTGATTCCTCCCGGGGTCTTGGGGTCAATGTGCGTTCCCCACCGGTCGTATATATCCCCGTCCATACAGGTGGAGATTAATCCTGCCTTTTCGTCGTCCCGCTGCTGTTGGCAGAATCGTACGGTGTGGTCCACCTCGCCACAATGCCAACAAGTTGCGCTCCGCCAGTCGAAGCGGGGCCTCCCGTACCCTTGGCCCCCTCCCTGGCTGCCTTGGCCACCTTGGTTCTGACCCCCTTGATCATTCCAGCCTCCTCCACGACCTCCACCATTTCCTCCCCGCCCCCGGCCGCCCCCTCCTCTACCTCCTTGGCCCCGGCCCCCATTGCCATGCCCGTCTTGTCCTTGGCCTCCTCCCCCGGCCACACTAGCTTGCGAGGCCTGCTGGGAGGGCGGCGGTTGAGCCACGGGCTGGCTTTGAGCCGCCGGGTAGCTCGGGGGCCCATACTCGCGGATGGCCTGAATAGGGGACCATGTGCCCCGTGTGGGCCTGACTCCCTCCACACGAGACGCAGTGGTTACAACTGGGTCAGGGCGTGGATTGGCAATGCGGCACCCAGTGTCCACAAGATGGCGGCGGCCCCATGTGCGATGATCCGGCTGGCGCGGGCGCTAGGACGGTCGCGGTGACAGGTGGTGGTGCGGCAAGGGCTTGGGGAGCCTTCCCTTTCCCTGACCCCTGTCCCCCCAGTAGCAGATTACGCTGCTTCCTCTGGGCCTTAGTCAGGGCTTGGGAGCCCGTCTCCCCTCCGCCATAGTCTTCACGCCCCGCCTCCTCATCTCCTACTCCTGACGCCCGGCCTTGGGCTACTGCCACCACACTTTTCTGTAGTTCTGCTTCGCTATCATATCCAAGTGCTGCCAACACGTCTGTGACTATTCTCTTCACCCCTGAGGTCCCGGATGCAGTAGCATCCCTCTCCTTCCTCTTGCGCCTTTGCAGCCTCATTTGGTGCTGCTCCAACTGGTTCAGGCTCCCTTCTTCTACTCCCTTGTTAATCGTTGTCGAGGTGAGCCTCTCGCTTCCTTCCCCATACTTTGTCAACTCTGTGGCCTCCGAGCCTGTAAGCAGACCCAAAAATGTGGCGCACTGCGCCTCCTCAGAAATCCTGTGCACTTTCCTCGCCCTTTTCTTAAACTCGTGCACGAACGCCACAATGGTAGAGAAGTCTTCCTTGTTCATGGCCTCCAAGTCGGCCATGGTCAACAGGCCATCCCCCAGCCTATACTTCCTTCGTATTAGATCCTCAAATTTTGCCCAACTGCAACTGGCGGCATCCACAACCTTAGTTACCTCTCGATGGTGGCTATGCAGGACATACCTCAGGACCCGCTAGAGCTTGACCTCATCTTACAGTCCCACCAGTGCCTGCTCTGTCAGATCCAACCAATCAGATACCCGATCCCCTTTGAAGTGGAATGTCTCGACTTTTGGGACGTTGCTCGGCGCCCTCTCGCGCTTGTCCAGGGCATCGATGAGGTCATCGAAAGTCACAAGCTTCCTCCCACCGTCCGCCATCTCTTCTGGCATCTTGGCCAACCACCTTCAACTTCAATCTCCCTGTTGTAAGAGACGATGGGACAGAGGACCCCACTCAGCGACTCAACCTTTCATGACCCTATCGGGTTGACCACTTTAGACACCCCACACTCTAGACCTGGCAGGCACTCCTTCTCCCTTTTGGCTCATCTAGATAACGCTTATCCTTACCATATGACTTCCTCATCCGCATACAACACTCAGTTGTCAGCCAGACCGTCAATCAATCAATCATCCAACCCATTGTCATATAGATCATCATACAGTCCACCTCATAGTCCTTCTTTTTTTCCCGCTCATATGCCTAGTTCTCGCCCACTCTCGTACCCGGATGTTGTTCCACCAGGGACAACGGTAGGCTTCCATTTTCCCCGGCAAAGGCGCCACCTTTTGAGCGCATCGATCCGGCACCGCACGCGGCGGCGCAGGACCCTCTCGGCCGCGTCACGTAGGAGTTGGACCTACCTCGTCACGAACACGCAGATGGAGCTTCCTTAAGCCGCTCCGACCAAGTGCGCCAGCCATACCTCTCGCGAGCCCCTACGACAGGATAGGGCCTACGCGAGGCACAACTTACCTCCACCTTACGGGAGTTGTCACCTCCCTTCGGTGGGCGTATCCCCGCCGAGCTACCAGTCCACAATACGAAAGCTACTCGGTTGCAATCGTCGAGGTGGACCAGCCGAGGGCGTTTCTCGTTCGCTGTAGCATAGGGGGTACGCGCGGTAATACACCTATCGGACCCGCACGCGAACCAACTTCTTGGGGGGCTGAGGTCCCAAGCGTGGCTCGACGTCGGTCGACTAGGACGCATCCCACACACCACGCGCACACCACTTTACGAGACAAAAATAAAACACACACACACGCACGTACAACACGACACAACACARACAACGCGACAACRCTCYTAGTCCCTCGGTARCCAASCCATAACCTCCTGAYGCGGAAATCGGATAGGCGTCATGCGCAAGACTTGGTATAAAACCGCGCGGACGCAGGGCTTACTCATATCGACTCGCAATGCAAGCGTATGCAAGTAGTCGCAATGATGGCGTACCAGGTAGTACCCATACTCATGCGGTCCTCGTTAATCTCGAGGGTCGCGTTCGACACTCAAGTGTCGGCTGACACGCGCCTAGAGGGTTAATCTCTCGACGCCAGACAACCGCCATGTGCGGTTGGAGACCACACACCCTCTTCTGCACCCTTATGCAGAGTGGGTGGTACACAGGCCCATGCCTGTGGTGGTAGTTGTCTCTCGCGGCCGTAGGGGTGAGTCCTCCCCGGGGCCTGGGCGAAAGTCAAGGGGTTTTACTTTGACGGCTGCCACGGACTACAACGTCCAACCATAAAATCCCTAAGAAGCAAGAAGACTTGCACACACTCAGGAAGAGGGGATATGGTCTCCTGGCCTTTAAAACAAAAACTCATGGCCTTGGGACACACTTCCCCTCTATGGGCGGTGCCGACGGCCTACAGTTTTCCCAAGCGCCGCGCCTACACCCAAGCCCGACGGTCCCATAACTTTTAGACGCTGGGGCGGCGAGGCGTCGCGCGCAGGGTTCTCATATAAAGTTGCGCGACCGCAGGCCAACCCTATGCCAACCACTGATGCCAATCACACGTGGTAACCGCGGCTTCGGCCTCGCGATATTGAATGGCTGAAGGAACTCATCGCGAGGGGTTACCCCTCACGATATTGAACGGCTGAAGGATACGCCGTTCGGCCTTCACGACATTTCCGCCTTTCAGGCGGGGTGCCCCGCCGGTCAAAGTAAATAGGCCCTATGCGAGGGGAGACCCCTCCCCTTCAGGGCCTAGGGCTTGGGATGTCGTGGATAAGGACCTTGAATCCCGGCCTAGGACCAACGTCCGACTAAGAAAGCCCCAAGACGCAAGTAGGCGGGAGGGAGGGTTTTCCCTGTCCCTCAGCCCCAACTTCCACGTGGTTGTTAACACGGCGGGAGGGAGGG